ACTGAGAACAGTGCAGATTTTAACAGAATCAACAATCAAAGCACCAAATTATTATTCATACAAATACAAATTAGCAGCTGCGGTTGGATCATCTAAAAATTTGACGTAATTTTTTCACGCTCTATTTGTCTGGTTCCAGTTCCTTCTGGATTCGAGCAGAATGTAGAAGGGACTGGTCAGGCAAGTAAAATGTACTGTGATCATTTGGTCAATTCACCAAGGAGCTTGAGGGCCAACAAAACAAATTGTTCTGATGGTCGCATTTGGCCCCCATGCCATAGTTTGAACACTGTGCTGTATGGAAATGTTATTGCTATGCCACTTGTAATGGAATAAATGTAAGACAGATGTGTTTAAGAGCACAACATTACAGGCAAAGCAATAACATCTTCGTTAAGACCTCCACATGGAAACTTACATAGTGTTTGTGTCAGGAGGGAACAGACTTAAGCCCACTGCTTGTGTTGTTGTTGTTGTTTTTTTGTTTAGTTTTTTTCTCAGCAATTTCATATGTATTATCATTTGTACAAATGTGATTTCGGTTGCATCCGTCTGGTTTCATAACACTAAGATGGGATGTTTTAAAGTGACACATGGCAGCGTCGACTCCTCCCCACAGCTGCAGCTCAGAAGAGACGCATAAAAGTGAAAAGATTAGCGCAGAATGGATCAACTTCATCAGTTAATTAAACTCTATTGCGGCTTGATGAGCAATTAATCAAAGCAGCATGCAGCGTGTCAGGCAAACCCCGCTCATGTGCGTGTACATTAGAGCCCCAAAGGCAGCCCAGCGGGGTCCACCACCACAGACGTCGTCAACTGTATAAAGACCCTATAGGCTGTAATAGAGTTGATTTATATAAGCAGCTATCAATCACTGTCTTGACATAAGCCCGCTTCCTATTACACTTCAGGATTAGATGCCTCGAAGTGCCCAAGAAACTGCGCTCAGATTGAATTTCAGGAATTATTATTTAGGGGGGAATAAAATTGGCGTTTGAAAGCGTACACCAGCCTGCCTCTCTTTGCTGCAATAACAGTCTAACAGTATTAGTGAGACACAAACGTGAAGCTTGTCAAATATGAAATTGTGTTTTCAGAGCATGTCTCGTATCTCAGATCTGACATAAGCCATTGTAATCTAATGGTGAGCTTTTTGTCCTTGTCTGGTAGCGTTTCATGTGCATCCTGCTTTATTGTAGCGCTTAGAAGACCTGTTTTCTTTATGCTATGTAAATTGGAGTTGGCAGTTTGCGCTAAATGCAGTAAATGTATTAATGAGACCATGGGGAACATTGGAAGTCAATTCAAGGAGGTTATTAAAAAGTAGTTTTAATTGGGTTGGGTCTTGCAAATGATTTTTTTTTGCATAACCAATTGGAATACACAATAAAGTTTGAGAAGAAGATGAAAGTTCTGAGTTTTTGATAGTCCTTGGGGGGAAAAAAAAATCTGTGTAGCCATCCCAGCTGCTCCTCGCATGTGAATTGTGAATGCAGTGAACATGGGTGGTGTGGCAGTGACGTGGGTAGTATGTGTGTGTGTGTGTGTGTGTGTGTGTGTCTGGGGTTGTGGAAGAGAGGAGCAAATCTCTGCTAATGACTGAGATTACACAAGGTTTTACTGTAACACCAAAGTCTCTTCCTTCTCAGCAGCCCCCACAAGAGCAGAGCCTGGTCGTCTGCCATTTTCCCAACCAGTTTCAAAATGATGTAGTTAAATTTGTTTATTTGAGCAATATCCAAACTGAATAGGAAGTAAATGAAGTTGTTAGGGCATTTTGCTTGTTTGTTGCTTGTTTTACATGATGAAAAAGTGTAATATGGGCTGACAAATATAGACATTATACTATTTAATTACGATTTAATCACTCATCAGTGTTTTGACTTCCTTAGATACCTGTAAATTGGTGGCATCACCTGCTAGTCTCCATGGATGCAGATAAGTTTAATGCCATAGTGTGGACATTCCTGGCAAAGCGATAACATCTCCATGAAGATGTTTCACCTTTAATTAATTAGTATCCCCGGTGGTACATCATATAGATTGTATGCACCTTTAGTTATGAATACCAGCTCTGTGCTCTCACTAATGCTGCCCTTTAAAGAGCAGAGCGAGAGTGTGCCTCACTGTTTTGGCTTGAGCTGATGCCTCTGAGCACTCTGTAAATTGTGTTGTAGCTTTAACCCATCGTATTATATAACTGGCTGAAATTACATTACAAAGCATACAATTGTCCCACTTTTGGTAATGCACTGTGACACATTACAAATGGTTTTAATTGCACTTTAGCTGGTGGCTCTTGGGGGATGCTAAAGTTCTTCCTCCACACTTTAAAGCAGTGTAATGTGTGTGTGCATGTGTTTGTTTGTATGTGAGATTAAATAGATTATTCAAGGAGACTCTCTTTTTTCATCTAAATATTACAGACTTGTTCACTATTTTGTGTGTTTATTAAATGGACATTTTATTGAAAAATGTATTGAAAAGTCGAGTCGAGAGACAGGCTACTCTCTGCACCTCTGACCCTGCTCCAATCTACATCAGCCACGAGTATCTGGTGCAGAAAATGGGGCAGAGCCTGAAGAGCTTCAAACTGAGGAGCAGCTTAAACAGAATTTAGCAGAAAAAAGAGCCTTGAGAAGAAAAGTCTCTGATGAGAAACAAATGCGAAAGAAGGCAGGGGACGAGAGAGACGCACTCAAACCTGCAGCTGGTGGAAAAAGTCCGAGTGCTGGAGAAAAAGAAAAATCCCTTCATACATTACATTTCATTGAGGGTCATTATGCACAACTGGATTATTATTATTATTATGTAAACACATTCCAAAATCTTGTATATTTCACATATAAATGGGTGGACTTGTGCATGTGAATAAATGCATGCCTACACCATGTGTGTGCTGTCAGTGTGTTTGTGTGTGTGTGTGTGTGTGTGTGTGTGTGTGTATGTGCGTATATGTGTGTACGGAGACTTAGATGGAGATGCAGAGGAGAGTTGGCCTTGCTGCTGACTGGATAATGACATGCACAGCGCTGCTACAGTAAACTGAGCCTCCACCAGATGCTCCCCTCTCTGCAGCTCAGAGAGACGACTCAGGGAATACAACAGATTATCAAGAACAGGACAATCTAGGTAGGAGGTATAGGCAGAGATGTTGCTGTACGCTGTCATTGCTAACCATAACTAGCATTCTTATTCTTGGACAAGAAAGAGCTTTAAAATAAGATAAAGACACAGCAGACTTATTTTGACCTCAAGAGCTGCTTATACAATATATTTGTACTGGGCTGAGACAAATTCTGCTCAAATATTTGGAGAAAAAATTGCACACAGGACCTTTTAAATGCTCAAACCTTATAGTTCATTATTCACTATTCAGTCAGATAGACTGAAGAGTTTTTCTTTTTGTTATGTTTATCCTGCCTATCTTTGTTACGCATATTACTATTTTAATAACTTGTGAGAGACTAATAAAGTTCTGTCTTTGGCTAAACTTACATAGGGGCACAATCAAAACACCAGTGAAAATCCACAATCGACAATCTTTGCTTCGAAGAAACTTGCCCACTGAAGAATTTCTACAGATTTTTTCAGTTTCTTACATTATAATCTACACTAGTACAGTAGATATCCATCTCTTCTGGATGTGAGCAGACCAATTCTTCCTCCCTCCTCAGATCCATCTTTTGACACTGTATAATGAATGCAGTCTTCACAGCCCTTTAATGAGTCAGTTTCACACACACCAGTCATGTGCTCCTCTCACTCAAATCTGAAGATATTTCTTGAGATTGGTGGAGCGAGAATGTGTTGAAAGTATTTTTGAATGCACACCCTAAACCAGCACACATGGTAGCTCTGCTTGGGTTTAATTGATAATTTAACACACTGATGTAGATGTATGTGTTCAGAGAAGTGGCCAGATGGCAGCAGCACACAGCAGCCAATGAATACAAGGCTAAAGAGGGTACTTTGGGCCAACAATTCTCATGTATTCACTTCACATGTTACACCACATGTTAGAATTAATTTGCATTGTGATGCACATAGCTAAATGTCTAGTCATATTGCTTACTTCACTATACTTTTCTAACTAATCTGCAATAAATGCAGCTAGCGTAAATTCAGCCTAGAGACCTAATTTCACTCCTTCACTGCTTCTCCAGAGTTTACCTGCTCCTCAGCCTTCACCTCACTCCAAATCCAGGTTGAAATATATTTACTCCAGTACCAGTAGTCATTCAGGCAATCAGACCCCCCTTACTGGAGTGTGCCATTGGATTTTGATTCATAATACAACCTAATGACACTAAAGTCTAATTTATAATGTGTACAGATGGCAGCCTAGTGCCACTCAAATGCTTCAGTCAATAGCATAATAATAGCATGTTCCAAATGAATATCCGCTATTGCTGTAAATGCACCTTTCCCAGCAGGACTAAAACATTATGCTGAAATGTGGCAGGGGTCCAGACTGCAGCGAGTGGCCATATGGTTCTTTTCATACAGCTGGCAGTCCACTATAAAAGGCACAGGACGCTAATGGAGAGAAAAGCACTGCCTACTCCCATAGTTTATGAACAAACTTTCTTTAATTCAATTATGGTTATTGTATTAGGGCCAAGCAGTTCTATAGCCCCTTCTACCCGGGACTATATGATTTGAATGTCTATGCTTCCCAGAAGGACTCTCTAAATATTTAATTAGCCGTTCTAAAGAAAGGACTCACAAATATGCTGTACAAATATAGAGACTGATTGTGTTAAATGTGAAAAACTATAATCAAATGCAAAATGGGAGATTTGTCATTACAGAAAATATGGTAGAAGTAGTTATTGCTGTTGCTACTTTTACCCTTTCCCCACAATATGTTTAGTTTGTTCCTGCAAAGTCTGTAATCAACAACAAAATGATGTGCTCTCAAAGAAAAAAGCTTTTGTGCTGAATTGTGTGTGTCATTACTCAAGTCTCTTCCTTTGTGTTTTCTTGTGTTTCAGGAAAGGGGGAACATCGCCGTTGTATTTAACGTGGGCACAGACGACATAAACATAGAGGAGACGTCTAAGTTTGTAAATGATGGAAAGTACCATATAGTGAAGTTTACCAGGAGTGGTGGTAATGCCACTCTGCAGGTGGATGACCTGCCAGTCATAGAGCGCTACCCCACAGGTGAGTGAGCCAGCTCCTACTACATCTGCTCATGACTCGTATGATTCATATCTGTTTTAGTGAATGAGGTGGGCTCTTCTTAATGACTTAATACATAGTCTCCTCTGTTTCCAGCTGCAAGAAATAACCTATGCTTGTAATTCTGAAACTATTCACACCAATTACTAATATTAAAGATAATGGTCTTTTCAAGCACTGTCATTAAGATTTAAAATGACTCTGTACTGCACTATTGCTCAGGGGGGTTTGGTGCAGGACACATTCTAGGCTCTATGTCGGCCTATATAATCTTGTCTAAAATAAACGAATATGAAATTTAAATATTTAAAAGTTCCTAAATCTGAATCACCAATAAATACCCTGTGTATGAAACTATAAAAAACACCAAATCAGATCTTAACCTGGTTTTAAACATGAGTAAACCTAAATATCTTAGGTGTAGTTGGGAGGTGTTTTTTAAGCATCAAATATATTGCGAGTATATTGCAGTAGAAGTAAAACCATAATAAACATTTGATACATAGTTCTGTCTAAACAGCTCGTTCCCATATTGGTACACTCAAATCTATGTAAGTAATGGCTGCTGCTTTAAAATCTCAATATCCAGGCAAATAAGTGTAAAAATGGCATCCGCCCACTATGTCTATGTCCGCATTATACCTCCCATATACATAAATAACCCACCTACGGCATGTGCTTACTGGAAACAAATCAATAGACTATTTACAGCCAAATTACACTTTTATTGTGGCAAGTAATTGTGTGCTAGTTCAATATTTATTTCTCTGTCAATACTCGAGATTGATTGAAACAAAGCAAAACAGATGGAGAGCCTGCAATAACAAAAGACATGTTCATTTTTTTGGCCAGCTCAATATTAATCACCATTGGATACAGTACTTACATGTTCACTGTGTCCTTTAGTTTATTTTTACAGCACGTAACAAATGCAATATTATGGTGTGAATCTGGTCAATGCTGTGAACGGCAAGTCTAAGTAATTTGTTTACACTTGTTATAAACCCAAGTACATTGCATTGTGTAAAGCGCTGCTGGAAACAGAAGAAATGAATGGTATGTTTCAATAGATACTGATATGTGTACTATAACCTCGCTATGATGCTTTCTACGCTCCTGGTGTTGATCAAAGCTGTGATGGTTTAAAGAGGTCTATTTCAATTACATCAGTTGGGTGTAACGTTTTGACTCCTGCCAAATGTAGTTTTCATTTTTGATGTGTTCATAAATGAAAACTCACAAGTATATGAATTTAAAGGTGCATTGTGTAACTTGATGATGAGATGTTAATTTTTTTCTCATTATGGTGTTTTTATTACTCACAATACCATTAAAGCATACAATATAAGCAGGGTTACCATACCACAGAGATGATATGTAACTTGGCCTGTGTCTGTTTGGAGGTGTTTGATTCCATACTACGAAACATTCCTACTATTCCTCTTCTACTGTATGAAGACAAGCAGGTGACAGGACAAGTTTTGTCCAAGTTTTACAAGGATAAACTATGGGGTGGGACCTCCAAAAACACAGATGTCAATGAAAATTTAGGAAAGGAAGAAGGCCGAACCATGTGATCAAAATCTATATGTTGTATAAATAAATTGTAGTAGCCCAAGAGTTGAAGAGAAGAGGTGTGTTGTCCATTCCAGTTTAGCACAGTCCAGTCAGTCTATACTTCCATTGTAGGGAGAATTATATCTCTGATGAATATAGGGACTGAGCAAGCAGTGAGTAAACTTAGAAAAAGCACAACAATGAAATTTCTCTAAGACACTATAAAAACAAGCGATCTTAATGTTATTCCTGATTATTTGGCGGTAATACATAGTTATAATAATAATCTCAGCATAAAATGAACAACAGGAGCACCTCGAGACAAACTGAACCTGTTTGGTCCTTCAGTATAACATTTGGTGGCTTTTTTAGCCGTGACCAGTGCACTCGCTCAGACATATGAAAGGAGGTTTTATATGACAGGACTCCACCTCACAGCTCGCCCCAGGTGACAACAAGATGCTAATGGCCTCTGACATGTTGTGGACAAGGCAAGAAGCATAGCTGGGTTAAACGCTCCCATCACAGACCCCCAGTCCATAAACACCCAAGAGAAAAACATGCTTTTTATAGTCTATGATCAGATTAGGATTAAAAAGCAGTATTTAAAGATTTTATATGATATTCATTCTACAAAAGGGATGGGGCAGAAATAAACACAACACATACCACACTGCTAATGTTCATTTTGTGTAAATAATATGATATGGTGATTAAAAAAAAAAACATAAAATCATGATCTCATTCCTGTGTTGGTTTCACTTCATGGAAACAGTCTGACCTCGCAGCATTGGCATTCGTTTGCTCAATGGTAGGCGGGTACTTTTTTTTATTTAACCAATTGCTGCTATTTGGTCGTGACGTATGTAATACACCGCAATGCTCAGTGGTGTCCAAGTAATTGCCGGCAAACAAAGGAGAGTGAACATGTCTGTCAACAATCACTGTCGTTTCTGTGAGGTGCAATAAAAAATGCGAAGTTTATATTTGAAAAAGGAAGTCCAAACCGTCTAGTGTATTCCTATTCCTGACCTACCCACTGGAGAGAAATGAAACAGAGTGGAGCCTGGCTACTATTTTGGTAAAACTTACACAAATTTTCTCATCAATTATCTTTTTCCACTCACACTTCTTACTGGTCAACCTCAGCAGTGCTCTGAATGAGTGGCAGGTGGGTTTAACCAATTTCAATGAAATGTGAGCTTCAAGATGCAGATGACTTTAGTTACATCTTTAAGGCAATATAAAAATACTATGAATCTAAATTGTAGTGTGGGTCCAAGAAAATGATTATATTAATTTTATGGCAGATCGCCCACTCCATATCAAGTTCAACAGTATCCTCATATTCCTTACTGCTTAATTTGCGGTAGTCTAATCTCAACTCTCTATACAATATTCGGAAGATTGCACTAACCACCGATAATGAAAACGCAAAAATAAATTAAACCAAAATATATTTATTAACACTTAAATGAATGATGAGGTATCCTAAGGTGTTAGCAAAGAATTAAATCCATCCACCCATCATGCATCAGTGTCAATACCACGACGCAGGCTAATTACATGTAATCAGGATTATTGCAGTTCACACAGCAGCACATGCAGCCCTCCTCGTGCATTCACCTGTGGTTTGATTGGGCTCCGTGTCTCCTCTAGCGCACTCATAATAGCAGCCCTCAGTCGCTCTCAGGCCCCTCTCAGATCAACAGTGATTAGAACAGGAGAAGACGGCGCAGATCGCGATGATGAGTGGAGAGGGTGAGAGACAGCGAAGAAGAGAAGATTATATGGGAGGGAGGGGGCCATTCTTCTCAAAGTAAGGAAATAATTGCCTCACCAGGGCCTATATCGCTGCCCTTGTAATCTCATTAAAAAGTCTCGTAGCACATACTTATGTACCATTACCAAGTCTTTAGCACCATTATTAGGATCTCCAATGCAAAACACTCGCTACCCTGCTATTTAGCCCTAACGCAGTGTAGACTTTATTTTACAAGAAAGCTCTTCTCTTAAGATCTTGTCTCAGTAAATTTCGGTCTGAGTCTGGGGTCACCAAAGCGAATATTATAATTTGTGTAGTAAATGTATGGGATACATTTTGACAACAGATACCACTGCTGACTGAACCTTCTGAACCCTCTCTTGATTTGAAACACAGTGACAATTACTAGTGCAATTACAACATTAGCATCTCTCATTACCAGTGTATGGGCGGATTGCACTGGGGAACCTTTTGCAGCTCGTGGGACATTTCTTTTAAAGGGATCATGGCACGCTATTCTCTATCTATGTTATAATATTGTTTCCTCATCACAAACAGACCTGGAGTTTTATTTTGTTTCATTCACACGTGTTTAGAACACACACCCTGCAGATTTAGACTGCGTTCCTCTCTCAAAGTGAAAACACTCTGTTCTACTTTGTAATGTCATGTGATAGTACAAGAAGTGCTCCACTGTGTTTTAAAACTCCATATGCCTTCACTAGAATCATTTGGCCAATTTCAGCTCTGGGAAGGTGAAAGTTAGCTGTTAACTTGAAAACTAGCATCACAAGGTGGAGCAGAGCATTTAAAGCACAAAACAACACAAAAACAAAATACAACTTCAGGCATGTTTTTATGGAATTAACAGCATTATAACATGGCTGAACGTTTACAAGAATCGATTTTGCCTAATACAGAACCTTAAAATAGGGTCAGTGTGGGTAAGTAACTACAGAAAATACATATTCAGAGCACTAATTGTGCAAATGTATTCTGCTACAGTTACTTTTTCATTTATTGGGAATATTCAGAATCCAGTTACTTTACTAAAATCAAAGGAATACATGTGGTTCTTGATCACACAATTCAGCCATCAAACCACATGCAATTAGTAAGAAAAAAAAACAGCTCTTGTGATGCATGATTATTTTTTTTTTTCCTCTCTAATTAGTGAAAAATCAATGCATTACAAACAGTGAAACATAAAGCTGTTTTAACCCCATTTTCAATATAATGTACTGCAATCCACTGTCTAAGAATTCACAATGCAAAACTCTGAATGGACCATATAACAGAAAACAGAATAAAATACATTCTGATGCAGTAATTCAGTATTCTGTAACATTTTCAAAGTATTCTTCCCATAGACTGTATATAAATCGACATGGTTAACCCGCTAGTTGCCACGTTCCCAATAGGAAATGAGCATAAGGAATCTTTTGCCAGTATCGACTACTTTGAAAAATTGTCACCCCTTTCTCTGTAATTGCGGCAATGAGCCTCATCATTTTGGTCTTTTTTGTATTAACTCGCTCTTCATGATCCTGGTGTTTTCGTTTCGCTATTTCGTCTGTACATAAATTCGTATTCCTAATTTTTTATCTCCAAATTTGCTCCTATATCTGCTTGCCTTATGAGCTTCATTTGACTGGAGATGAACATTACTGTATGGGTGAACTCACACTCCCTTAGTCCACTTCTTTATATAGTCTATGATTCTTCTAGACACTGGCCAGCACTACAAAAGTCCTAACTAATACGGTGTCAAACACCTATTGTCAAAGGTACAAAAATCTATCTGGACTTAGCAACCACCTAGCAACCATGGGTATTCGGGGCTGTACCCTTGATAGTGACCTGCTGGTTCTGGTAAACTATGCGCAAATATTATCCTCCCAAAAGAAAGCTCATATTCATAACTTAATCCTGTTCTTTCATCCTCATTCCTCATTGGTTTCCTGCAGCACAAAAGGTAAAAAAAAAAAGTCCTTTCTCTTGAGCTTGAGCCATGGAAGTAATGCTACCACAATAACAGTGCCAGACCTGCAGGCTACAGAGCTCTATAGCACTGTGGTACATGCAGCGTACACATAGATAATGGAGATGTCCCTGGCCTTATTTTTCTTAACCATTATAAGAACATAGTGCACTTAGGTAGGGCCTCTCTAACTGTCCCTCCTTCTCTCCTGACCTATATTCCCTATTGCATCCCCTTTGACTTCCTTCAGTGTCGATCGCAACCTTTTTTCACCTTTTATGTCACAATTCAGAGCTTGGTTTATCCATAAAAGCTCTACCTAATCTGCTGTTTTGTCTCTGTCCACCAGCCTATTCAGTCTATTGTGCAGGGAAGCCATTACTGAGCATGCTTTCAAAATGTTGCAGTGTCTCTATAGAAGCCAAAGCAGGAGAAGAGGGACTGATTAATAAAAATAATAGCCTTATTTGTTTTGGAACCACCTCGCAAATCTCCCGACTCCCTAAAACACTAGAGACATTTGCATATATGTTGATTCAATATGCCGGATGTCCGAAGGCTTGTAATTAGATAAAGCACGCTACCTTATCTGAGCACTTTATTAACAAAAAGGAAACAAGCAAGCAAGGACAGAGCGGGTCAGTTTGGGATAGTCCCACTGAATGGCCCCTGTCTGGAAGCGGAGATAAGCCTTAGCCCCGCCCTCATCCATAAAGGAAACCAATCAGCTCTCGGCGGCGGTCGTAAGCGCCGTGAGCACTAGAATGAATGGGACGGCGTGTGTGGTCCCAGGGGAGGCTATTGTTGAGAACTCCACTGTCCCATAAAGAGGATCAATACACGATCAGGGCTTGATTATATTCACACCTAATTAACCTGACTGTACAGAGAGGTGCTGAGACAAACACATGGAGACTTGGGCTGCACTCGAGTTAGTGTTTCTGATGCCAGTTATTGACAACAGAGATATTTAAGCAAAGAGGAGATGTCATGAAACTAAAACAAAAGGAATAAATATGGATAAATAATAAATATGTGTAATTTGGAGGTAGATGAAAAGACTCCTGTGTTAAAATAGCTTGAACAACATCATTAATGGGGATGTTGTTTAATCTAATACTCAAAGAAATACTCAAGAAACAAGTTACTGGCAAATAATATATTTTTGGGGGGTATTTTTGAGCAATAAAAACACCCGTAATTGAATAAATGTAGTAGAACTGTTGGACGTTCCAAGCAGAGCAATGATATAACCATAGAAACAGATGACGGACCCCTGGCCAAAAAGTTACTTAGTCCACCTTTACAACCTTCTGACTGAAATGAGCTTTTGCATACTTTACTATAAGTTTAAACCTCTAAACGAACATGTAAAACTGGTCAGATGATTTTAATGCTGTATATACACATGAGCAAATATGTACTTACTTTTCACCATTGGGAGCACTTAAAATGATTCGGCCAGGCACTATTTTTTAAAAAGCCTGTTTATATTTTTACGGACCGTCCTTACTGTCCTACAAACAGCTGGGGGCTAACAGCTCCCTGGGGCCTAGTTTGGCACTGACCTCTGCGAAGAGTTCACAGTCACAGAAAATGATTTAACTAGCACTCCCCCGTGACTGTAACTCTTTCATATCAAGACAAAAATACCTACTTTTTCCATTAGTCTTGCATCTGCAGTATCTATGTTACTTTGGAGCTTGATAGGACAAATTTTAGGAACCATGGCGGAATTGTTAACCACTCTGCCACTGTACAACCTGCTATATATGAAACCATCAAGCTTCATGGTGTATTCGTAATAACATGTTTTGAATACAAGCCGTGTGCTGTTACATAAACACAAAGAGGAGATTGCCACTATATCTTACTTCCACTGAGCTCAGAGAGGTTTAGTGACTTCCAGCTGCAAGCTAAATGTAATATATTCTTCAGAAAGTCCGCCTCAGTGAGAGCATTCACAGAACTATTGTTTCAAACACACATTGTAATTCAAATAGTCCTATTCTCTAAAGTGCAAAGTACGTTTTCATTATAGATCAAAGATGGCATCATTAAAGGTCCGTGCAGCTCTATTTGTGATGGTTGAAAACACTATAGGGCATTGTGAATATCAAATAATGAAACTCCAATGTGAGGTAAACGTGAATTGTATTAGTATTTAGCAATTATGTTAGAGTGTACTGTAGTTGTAAAGGTTATGCATCTGCTGGTCTTGAATGCACTGAATATGATAGACCTCAAAAACTAAGTTAACACTAAATGTTCTTTACAGTGTATTATGTAAGAAATTTTGTTGTAATGTGTGCATCATGCTGTTATTGACAGCAATAGGTAGAGGTACAAAATCAAAAGGAAAAGCAAGGCAAGTAAATGAAAGTGCTTTAAAGAATAAGAAAGGCATAAAAATCACAATGCAAACAAATCAAAACACAAATAATCATCATTACATTAGAAGAGAAGAGTGTGAAGTAAAAACCATTCAGCCATATGCACAGCTAAACAAAACAGTTTTCAAAAACGCTTTTTTCAAATGGGGATGATTTCATTTTGTGATCAACAAGCATCTACAAAACTGGCACTACTCATTTTTCAGAACTGCAATGGTGTGTGCCTATAATAAAAAATATACCTTAAAGAGCCTTACTGCACTATTTTCTGATCTCTGTTATAATGTTGTTTCCTCATCACAAACATACCTGAAGTTGTGTTTTGTTTCACCCTGCATATTTAATCTGAATTCTTCTATTAAACTGAAAACACTCTGTTCCACCTTGGGATGTCATGTGGTAATACAGGAAGTGCCCTCCTGTGTTTTTAAACTACATACACTTTCACTAGAAATATTTGGATGATTTCAGCTCTGCAATTAAACAAAAGGTAAAAGGTAAGGCAGTTAACTTGAAAACTACTGCTTCATGACATCATAATAATAATAACTAATACTAATATAATTACTCAAACATGTGCGAAGAATCAAAACGTGACTTCAGGTATTTTTTTGATAAGGTAACAGCATTATAACAAGGCTTGAAGCTCACAGAATCTATTCTATGTAATATAGGACCTTAAACATTAAAATGTATAAAGAATGGAACTGCATATTTGTCTCCCGACAAAATTCAGGGTTTGAGAGATAGCAGTGCAGAGTGGAACTATATTCTGAACTATCTTTTTTCGCATACTTTTATAGTCGCTCCATCACAATGAGCTCCTCTGCCTGTTTTTTCAACACCATATCTTTTACAGCAATTCAACGTTTCGATTAAAAGTCTTATTAAGCCACGTCTAAGGTCATTTCATCAAGCGAGCAAGTGCATGCGTTATATCAGACCACTTCTCTCATGGACAAATCTTCTCCGTAAAAGGAAGCTATTCACCTCAAAATCCTGGTTAGTGAGCGGGTCCTTTATCTCGCCCAACTGAATTAATATAGTTGATGGGACAAACACTGTCGATCTGCTGGAAGAATGGAGGGACTGAATTCAATCTGTGCAGACAATGGCAGAGGAGAGCGGTGTGAGATAGAGCTACTATATCCTGTACTGTGTGTGGAGGTGATTGGAGCCCATTAAAATGAATATGATGGACGGTTTTCATGTTTTTCTAATTATTACTTGGGTTGGTACTGTGGTCAATATTTCTCATAGTTTTCGTCAGTCAAGAAGGAGAAAAGAAGAAAGGTTGACAAAGAAAAGTACAAAAATGCAGGAAGCAGCAGTGAGTGCTAAAATGGATACCTCCACCTATGTCATCAACACGGAAAATTCCATCCACAATGCAGGGACAATTTACGAGCAAGGAACACATTTTTCTGACAGATTGAACAAGAATTTTAAAAAAATGAAGGTGACCTAATTTCTTCCAACCACAGCTTTGGTCAATGCCACATGAATGATCTTTACAGTGATTGGATGCACTTTGACCCTGTCTTTTCTCTTACTGTGAATGTATACTCTGTTCTACTGTTTATGGCAAATACTGTAGTGTGTATCTCTTGTCAATAGGCTGTTAAAATGGGGTGGGCATTTGTAATATGATAAATTGTTGCACAAATTATTAAAAGAATAAAATAATAAATTTAAATGAATAGCAAAGCTTAGAAGAAGTTAAAAAGACTTAAAAACAGTGTAAAAACAAATGGGGTGGACATTTATTTGGGAAGATTGGTGACATTAAATTTGATTTTGGTTTGTTGATAACAGTAGGATTAACTTAGAAGAAAGGCTTTAGTCTAGTTATTGTCAATTAATATAGACATAATTTGTTGAATAAAATAAAATAAAAGGATTGAGGTTTGGTAAAATAATGTTTTAGTTAATATTGTTTTTAAATAGATAAACTCTACTAAAAGTATGTGCAGTTGTGTAGCATAACCTTTAACCTTTGACCTTACAGATTGTAACCAAGAAATGTCTCTTTAAACTTTAAAGGCAACAATGATAACGAACGCCTGGCGATTGCTAGACAGCGAATCCCATATCGACTTGGTCGAGTAGTTGACGAATGGCTACTCGACAAAGGTAAAAATCATTAATTAAAATTTTAATAAAATTAATTTGAACATAAACAAGTTGTAGCTTTATTTTGTAAATAATAAAAATAAAATAAATGTACAGTTAAACATAAACTCAAAATGATTTGTAGAGTTAAGTGTAGTCTTTGATATTATTCATAATAATGTATTGATTTGATAATTGTAGCTGATTAAATACTTAAGGTTAAAGGGACTGTAATAATTAAAATAGATATGTATATTCTTTATAAAATATATTTAAATTGCAGTAGTCTTTTGAAGTAAACATTAAATGATAAATGTAAAAGTTTCTTCAGTAGCTGTTGTTTCACACACTTAGAAGTGTTTGTTTGCTTAAATAGACATAAACTACCACAATATGAATTGGCTTCAGTTACAGAGTCCCTTTAACATGATGTAAATCTATGCAGGACTAGAGCAAAGTTTTAAACTTAACTGAGTGCATGCTGTGTTTGAATAATAACGGGCCATATCTTCACTCAAATGGGAGCCCTCTTCGGATTTGTGTTTTGTTTTTGAAAAGGAGCTCTCATTTCTCATGTGCCCAACCATACCTCACTTATGTCCATCGGTTGCTTTGGCTAAATAAATCAAATATTGTTGTGCCTTGCTTAGACGAACCATCCCTATTTCTATGTTTGCATGCTTCTCTTTGTTGATTTCTAAGTGCCATTGTATATTATGAGTCTTTAAACATGTTTTATTTCTTGTTTCAACAAATTACCAATTTACTCTCACTTCAATGGTGGTTTGTTCTTTCTTCTTTTTTGCAACACAACCCCCTTTACTTTATTTGTTCTATTGCCTTTTTGCACTATCCCTTGTAGCAAAACTGCATTAATCCTGATTTTGTTTCTGTTGATACTTCTTAAGCTTTCCATCACAATAATGACAATAAATTACCAGGTTCTGCCTCTACAACCTGTAATTTATTGCACTCATTAACCACTGGGCAAATAATCTGTCTTTTTGCTGTTGACTAGAAGTGGCTGAGTCCACTTGCTCAACGCCTTTGTATATATGTAACATTGTTTTCCCACAGGGCGCCAACTTACCATCTTCAACAGTCAGACCACTATTCAGATCGGAGGCTGGGAGCGTGACCGCAGCAGATCCTTCCAGGGCCAGCTCTCAGGTCTCTACTACAACGGTCTGAAGGTCTTCAACATGGCCGCCGAAGGAGACCCCAACATTAAGATCCAGGGCAGTGTGCGGCTAGTGGGAGAGTCTCCCTCCTCCATCACTCCTCAGTCCAGCACCACGGCCAACCGCTCCGAGACCTCCACATCCATCATGGAGATCACCACAACGACTGCATCTAGCCGTAGAGTCAAGCAGACCACGCCCCGGGAGCCACAGCAGGTACAGAGACTTGTGTTAGTATTTTTGCACCACACAGTTGAAGAACTTCGGCATTTTCACAGGGAGGAATTGAGTTTTGGTTGTGTTATTTATGATGATATAAATAATGGAAAGTTAACAGTGTACATATACCCTCACTTGTTTTATTTACCATTTACCAATCCCAGAAGTAGATTTTGTCAGTCTCTTTAGTAAAGGATGGCTTCTCAAACTGGAGTTCAGGGCCATATGTTTTTAGCCCGATTCATCAGCCAGTTTCCACAAAGTATTAGGATTTGTTCGCTCGACGGTAGGGTGCTATTTGGTCGTGACATATGTAATGCACCAAATCCTATAGGAAGAAGGGAAATAACGTCTTTCCCCTTCATAAAATTCACCAAACATTCTCTTTGTTCCGGCTTTAAATCCTCGATCTCCGGAATCGTTGCCAACACATAATGTATGGCTTCGTCTACATCCATCCTGACCACTTTGTTTACTGTTGTGCTGTACTACAAAAGGGACCCAGATGGGCACTTGAGTTTGATGTCATGGCTTCACAGCTCTTCGCTGATTGGCCGATGCGCGATCTACGACTTCCAGGGTTCTTGCAAACCATCTAGTGTATTCCAATTCCTGACCTAGTGGCTGTAGAGAAATGAAACTGAGCAGAGGCACTAGGTGGCACCAGCTTGGCTAATATCTTTTGCCCACCATGCTAATACTGGTTGTAGTTCACAGTGCTGAAGAATTCACTACCCCTCATCTTGGGTTTCAGCTTCCTTTGTCAAGACTTTCCTAAAATAACTGTTAATGGCTAGAAACAGTGCTGGATTTTCATCACTCCAAAATGCATGGATAAATCATTTCATGAGAAGCCTTATTGATTCCTCTTGTATAAATACATTTAAGTCTTGCACAATTCTAGAAAAAGTTGGTCACATGTCGATATTGTAAAATGTTGCTCAAAAGTTTAAATGCAAAATCATTACTGATGTACAGTAGGTCATGATCGTAGAGTTAAATATATGAATCTTTTGTGTTACTTTTGATTAATGCTCAGTGTAAGAGAAACTCAATTACAGTATCACTGAAATGTGCATGTGCCACTTGTACTTGACTTTTCACACGTCCATTTGATCAACATGGCTCTCAATACGCCTGCACCTCTATGCCTCTGAGGGGATGAAATAGATTCTAAATACATGAAGCATAAAGGTCATGGTAAAAATCATTCATACCAGATGCATTCAGAACCCACGGAAACTTCGGTTCTTTTTGTACCTCCACTGCAGTCATTTGCTTCACATAGCGTCCAGTTACTCAGCCTTTATTTTATTTCAGTCTTTACATAATTGGATTCACAGCAGGTCACTTGACTTTGATCCAAGTGAATATACTCAGCCCAGAACATTGTAGCCATCATTTGTGATAGCACTTTCCAATCAGGTGCTAATACAACTTCATGCAGCTAGATAAAAATGACTACTTGTTCATATAATTTCCAATGAAAAACCACACTTGGAAAATACCTTACATACATCATTACATCTATATGGTGGTTGTCAAGATGGCGTGAGGGAGCGCAGATGCTGACAAATCATACAATAATAAATATTGATCTGTCAGAATGGTTTTCTCTGAGCGCTGTGTGACTCCCAGACCATTTCAGGAGCGTGTAATGCAGCAGAAATATCAGACAATTCAGTGTAATTATACCCCAGCTTCATGCAGAGTGGTAAATCAGCGCAGGAATCAAGGAACTGACAGAAAAGAACAAGTATTTCAAGATGTCTTTCACACAGTGTTGCATTCGAGTTGACGTTTTTGAATGGTTTATAGCAATTGTATTTTAAATGGTATTGGAGAGGATAATGAGCTCACTAAATGTTTAAATTGTGTCTTTTATATGAACAAAATCATTTGTCTTTGTCTGCTTTAATTTGTAAAGGCGGGGTAGTATTAGCGGGCGCAGCAGTAGGTAGAAGTATCACTGATGTAGTTTTGAAGTATTAATTTGAGAAGCAGTAGTTAGATTGGTGAATGCAACAGAATAGACTACATTTATTTTTTAGGATTTAATGAAGACATCATTTCAGATGAGGGGCGTGGGCCTGTATTACTCTTTGGGATAGTCAAGGGAGTGTTTCAGTTCAATCACTAGTTAGGTATTGGCTTTATAAACTTTGCATATTCATTTTATGTCTTAAAGACCTTTCAACTGGCAACAATCACGTCTTTAGTGTTGTATTATCGCATCGCTTTTTGAAGTTATTTTGTTCATGCTGACAGAAGAGACAATGAATATTACGCCTATTTGTGTTTCATGCGGATAGGCCCAGTAATTACAGGGATATTAACAATAAACCAGGTCAACAAATCTACAATCTGACAGTTAAAAGGCAAATTCGACCAAAGAATTGTGGCCTGCCCTCTAGCACAATTTTAAACCACATAGGGATGCGTGAATGTCATCACAGATATTGCATGGATACTCACAGCAGTGGTTGTAGCATTTTAAATAGAAGTAGTACAAGCAACAAAAAAGGTCTTGGAAGTTTTATATTCTATCTAGCTTGATTCATCAGTTGGTTACACTTCATGGAAACTGTCTGACCTCTCAGCATTAGGATTCGTTCGCTCGACGGCAGGCGGGTAATTTTTTATTTAACCAGTCGCTGCTATTTGGTCGTGACGTATGTAATGCACCGCTAACGGGGCTAACTGGGATATTAAACTTTTCCCAAATTTTGAAGGAAGAAGGGCAATAACATCTTTGCCCTTGATAAATTTCTCCAAACATTCTCTTTGTTCCGCCTTTAAATCCTCGATCTTGGGAATCGTTGCTAACACAGAATGTATGGCTTTGTCTACATCCATTTTGATCGCTTTGTTTACTGTTGTGCTGTACCAGGGACCCAGACATGGCTTCACAGCTCTTCTCTGATTGGCCGGTGCACAGTCTACAACTTCTGGAGTTCTTGTAAACCGTCTACTGTATTCTGTTTCCTGTCCTAGTCGCTGGAGAGAAATGAAATTAAGCGGAGGCACTATTGGCGCCAGCCTGGCTAGGGAATTGTCGGGTCCCTCACGATTTAATGTAATACACGATACATGGTTCACGATACGATATGATCAGGATATGGCAATATATGTGATAATCGATATATTGCTCTTTATACTCTGATGTATTGCTGTTTTTGAGAGCCAAACACATTTTAGCAACAATATGTATTTGTTAAACACGTGTTTGTGTTGAGTTAATATGAATTGCATTTATTTTAATAATCAAAACAGTTTCCTTCCACTAAATAAGCTACAAAACTATAGTGCAGTAACAAAACAAAAAAAAAATGCTAAAAGAACCACAAAGTACTCTTGATGATATATAGATGCAGCATCTTATGATAACAATACTGTATAGGCAAATTTAATATCACGATTTATTGATATTTCAATATTTTTGCCGACCCCTATTCTTAACGCAGGCTATATTTAATAAGTTTTACCTGAAGCTATGTATGAAAGATCCTGTGCACTCACTGAGAAAGGTCGCCACACTTTGCAATGAACTGCAGTGATGAATAGGTCTCACAAAAACATGTGCAATCAGACATGACATTTTTTTCCCCACTATGAGCGCCCCCTTTAGGACAGAACTGTCGTGGGACACTACACCTCCCAAATATAAAAAGCACAGTCCATTCAGTGCCTTATCCTTGCTACAGCCACCAATTTGACCATTGTTCAGCGGTTCCATCTGCCCCTGATAGCCAATGCAATCCAGCCTCTTGCTTTTATGTCCTAAGAGCCTCACATTACGGAGACTGGTACATTTTTTAGTATGGCAGCTCCCAGTAGAATTGAAATGGCACTCAGCATATCTTGGTGAATTGCAGCCTGGTGAAAATGGTCAAAGAAAAAAATATATAGATCTGGCTATCCAAGTGTAGCAGTATCCAAGAGGAGCGGTATTCAAGCTAATAGGCAATATGGATCCAAAACCTCCTGCAAGCCTTTTTATAAGAAGAAATGGAAGAATAGGCATGTGGCTTAGTTGTGAATTGAAGTGGACGATATTGACCAAAATGTATGTCTCCATATTTTTTTTCGAGTATCTCAGTAATGATGTTCATGGCAATCAAACAGAAATGGGCAGAGATGTTTCTTTGTGCTGCTGAGCTATGTAATGGTTGAAGGACAGGTATCAGACAAATGTGAAAGGCCTGAAAAACCTACATGCAAAAGTGCTGCTATATCACTTACAGTCTTTTGAAAGACGATAACATTATATTAAAAATCATTTAGCTCTTCTTTTCACATTTTAACATTGTATTTTTTTAATGGTCATTTTGCATATATTCAAAACCGCATTCACAAGTATTACTGCTATTTTGACATTTGAGAATATCATCTTTGCCATTCTCCTAATAAGGTGTTTGCAGTATTGACTCAAAAATGGGTCAAATCGTGGGCAAAATTTAATTATCTTTTTGAAAGTAGGCGTTTCTACTCCTGTATTATAACAGCATCCTATATATTCACACATTAAGAGCTTGCTATGAGTAAGGCTTGATAGTTGAATATAGCTGTACCCTTTTATAATCTTTGTTCCAACTTATTTAATCTGTTGACCATTGAAATGATCCAAATATCTCTTCAGAATTGGCTATGCTGCTGGTCCAGATGACCAAGTTTAAATTACATAATATAGTTTAATGAGGACACCCCCAGCACTATAAAGAGGCTGTGTAGACTTAATGCATGTCCGACTGTGGCCCACTTATACCCTACAGAGAAAGTTATTATGGATATTATAATGTATTTATTTAATTGGAATGGGCACCGCTGTTACTTTGGGCGTACCAGATGCATTGGACAGCTTAAGCTTTTGGGTAACATTACATGACAGTCATTTTCTCGGACCACTGGGTCACCACTCATGCCTTAATAACGGGGATAATATCATCTGAATGCTCTGGTCTAATCATGGAAGAAATGTACCATGGGTAAAAAGTTGACGAGTCAGAATGTCATAATACTAATTTGAGATTTTTACTAGCAACAGATTAGTCTGGCTGTTTTGTCTTTTGAGTTTGGTGACTTTTGAGACTTTTCACTTTAGACATTGTATATCAAAAAATGTATCATGTCACATTTTTTTGCATTAATTATTTTAAATTATTAAAGGTGCACTATGTAACTTTTTGGTTGGGGGTTCATCACTTACTTTTTTTTTGTGTCTATGGATGTCATTGCTGGAATGTTCCACAGTATGGCATTAAACAGCGCTACCTTACATTTTATTCAATTACAGGTGGTTTTATAGCTCAAAAATACCTACAAAACAGGCATTCTGACTGTGAGCGGGGTTGCCTCTCCACAGATCTGACCTGAAAGTTGGTCTAGTTGGTCCCCATGAATATATAAAGGTTTAATGCCATACTGTGAAACATTTCAGAAAAAAACAATAACATCTCCATGAAGAAAAACATTTGATGGACCTCCAGCAGAAAAGCTACACAATGCACAAGTTAATTTTGTAAAATGGCTGTATTCAATTATTAATTCATTAATGTTTTTAATAGTTAGTAATTTTTTGCGTATTTTAGTCTTTTTTTGTTTTACTTTCAGCTAGTGTATTTTGTGGCTTGAGTTGTAGCAGGTACTTGGCCACACTATTATGCTTTATTGACATAGCAGCCCTTAGCAGCAGTGCCTGGTTGCATCCAATTAAAGTTTCCTTTGTGTGCGTCCATTAACAATAGATGCACTGCTCTATACACTGTTTAGCTGCAAACACTCACTCACACCATTTTCTGCTCAACAATTGTATTTAGGGATTACTCACCCACTGCTGGACTAATTGGTGTAATTTTTTTTTTTTTTTTTATTCTGTCACTTTTGTCACATTTGGGAGTCTAAAATATAGTGTTTTTGAATCTGTGGTCCACTACTACTACTAAATTTGAAATTGGCTGTTCCTGTCCAAAGCACATTGTTGCGAATAGACCCAGTTTCCATACACAAAAGAAATAGATTTAAACATGACAATTTATGACAAATATTGCACTGAACTCCCTCTAAAATATTCCATAAAGGCCTATAGCTTGAGTAAAGATTTGAACACGTTATGGGACCAAATGTCAGCTTTAAAGACAGCATTTAATACTTGATGATACTTAATCAAAGCCCTCAGAGATAAGAGATAGGGCCCTGTGCCGCTGCTCGCCTCTGGCTCAGAAAAACGAGCGGCCGCTGCTATCTCGTTCTACCATTGAGGGCTTTTGACAGTGATGGATCCTCACCTGCACCACTCTGGATTATCAGCCTGGCCCAGCGCACACACACTCACACACACAAGCTGTATAAATCGTACTGTGCACATTGAGAGAGAGAGAGAGTGCCATCCGCCAACAGTTGTTTCTGCAAAAACATCCTCTAAAGTTACACTGGCCTCCTGAAAGACATGAGAACAGAAAGACAAGACAAACTTTTACTTTGCATCACTGGGCAATGGAACAACAATGTCAGTGTAGTATTTGGATTTACAGTCAATATGCGTTTATTATGTTGATAATAAAAGTACTTTAAAATCACCACTGGTAATAGACATATTGCTACATAAGGGGTAGTCAGTCTAGTCTACAAGCATCCGAAAGACACTGTAAACACCAAATTTGATGTCTGTGCTGAATGTCTCTCACCATTCTCAATGCCATTTTATGTTGGCATTTAGCTTTTCTGTGAAATAAATTCAATCCACTTTAATTATATGGCATATTTAATAAACCAAATCTATTTCCAAAGTGCAGCACAATACACACATAAAATGCAAATATAAAATAAAGCTAAGCCCAGTACAGTCATACACATTTAAAGCAATAAAGTTACTCAAATCAAAACAGCGTATGGGTCTGTAAATAATAAGATAAAACCATTAAAATAAAAAACACAAAAATAAAGGAGCAACAAAAACAAAAAACTAAAAATTTCAATTAATTTTTAATCATCCTTGGGCTCTGGTCTATTTGCCAGTAACTGCATGTATGAGAGTATGCATGATTATTCTGTTTTTATTAATCATTCAATATTGTCTTTACAAACTAATGATCATTTCGAGGCGTGCAGCTTTATAGATGTCCCACTTGGTCTCGTAAATATATTCATAAGCCTATCTTACACTGAGGTCAACCTGATATTCTTACGCATACTGGTCCTTTTTGACCCCTAGCGACCCTCATGTTTCTTTTATCACCTCTTTGCTTGGACCAGTTTCATCTTTATAGCTCTCCGCTTGGTGCAATTTTAACAAATACAGATAACAGCCTGTTTCTCAGTACGATAAATAGCCACAAGGCAATATCATTGTTAGCGAAGAGCCAATTGGCCTTGTAGTGTTTGTGAATTAACCCATAGGTGAGGGGTGTAACTGTTATTGTGGGAGATTGAAGAACATTGAGGACACATTGGCCAACCCATTTCATTTACAGCCACTGCACAAAGCCCTGTTCCAGTCCAGCAGATCCCTATCTCAATATTGTTGCACTGTAAAACTGCACAGCAGCACTTGCAAAGTTTTTTTTCTACAGTCAGTTTAAAGCTGGTTTTGTCCTTATCTGGATTAACTAACTAAAACCTTGGGCAGTCTTGCTTTAATTCTTGTAAAAAATAAATACTCAGATTGTTTATACTGTAAAAGTTAAAACCGGTAAATGAAGCTATTTTGTGTGTGTAATAATGTTGTAATGAGGATGTGTTGTACAATTTGATGTAGGACTGTTTTCTGGACCATGTTTGTACCTTGGTTGGTTTTGGTTTAGTTGTTTAATGGTTTAAACCTGGTTGAATTCTTGGCTAGATCCATCGTAGTCCTGGTTTAGTCCAATTTTAATCCATTGAACAAGTTTAAATTCTGCTTAGACCCATGTGAGTATTATACACTTTTTTTATCCAGTCATTTAGGTTTATAATTTTCAGATGACAAGTATGACTGTTATTTAAAGATGCACTGTGTAACTTTTCTTGTGGAGCGTTTGCCACCTGCTTGTCGCCATGGAAATGTTATTGCTTTTCCATGGTATAGATTAAACCTATTTACAAAGAGGGAGCAAGTTTCTCCTATTCGCAAATCCTATTCAATTCTGTTTTTTGAGCAATAAAGAGACCTGTAATGAATAAATTATAGATTCCAGGCCATGCAATAACATCTCCATGGTGACCAGTAGCCAGCGGACCCTCCACCAGAAAAGTTGCACAGTATACCTTTAATATACAATTATGTAGTTCAGATATATTTAAATTGATATAGTGAGATAAACTGAACTGAAGCATATCCAAAACACTCACATTTAACCTGACTGAGTAACACTGAGGATGCACAGTGAGCGGTTCGTTTCATTTACAGCCAGAGCACACAGCCCTGTTCCAGTCCAGCAGCTTTGTAACGCTTGTATTTTTCTTGGTTTGGAGTCTGGGGGCACAAACTTGCCATTTCTATATAACTCACATGGATAAAGGAAAGATTTGACACGCTGCTCTCCTACACCTTCATTGCAAATGCCTGGATACTGGCAAGAATCTCCCAAATAATAAACTTATTGTCAGTGTAATCTTGTTGGGGGAAAAGCCCTCTGTATCTTAGCAGCCAATAAACACAACATCTTTTCTGTTTTAATCATCCGTGTGCTGTGTCTTCCTGCGCTATCTCCAACTACCTTTAGGCTCTACTCAGATAGCCCTGATAAAGCCATGGGATTATTGTTTTACAAGATCAGGCTGCAATAAGTCTTCCCAGTCTAGATTTAGAGCTAATCCTGGACAAATCAGTATGCAGACCCCAAACTTATCTGACAAGCCCAACTCTCCTAAGGCTTAAAAGGAACACTCGTTTTCCAAAACTGTCTCGCGTTGACATCATACTTTGCCTTAGTTTAAGAACAGCTTTAGATCACAAGTTTTTAAATTTGCTATTAAAATGCCTAGATGTGTCTGTGACGTCCTTAACTTTTTTTACTATGCAGAATTGTTCTCTAACTGCTAATTAAAGCCCCACTGTGCAACATTTATTTATGTATGTTTATGTTTTTATTGCAGTGACAAATTCTTACTTAACCTAGACATGTTAATTTGGCAATAATATTCCACAATCGTTATAAAATCTATCTTCATGGAAAATGTTCTTATGTTCGTATCGTTTTAACTTTCCATTTCCTTGGAATCAGACAGATGATGTGCCACCTTCAGAAAATGACTCAGTGTTACTTTAAATTCACTACTTTTACATTTTAAAAAATCATAATTTATAACTCACTGACTGTTAACTTGGTCCATTAAGTTCCTTGAGACAGATCAGTTGAATGCCTTGTGATGCATCATTTGATCTGGAACAACACATGTACATTTAAAAATATGGCATTTGAAAGCCTATACATTATATAAGGCATGAACACTTAGAGAAATTCAGTTTGAAACTACAAAACATTGAATTCACACCAGTATCCTATATTGAAGATTGTCTACAGTATATAGCGAAACAGAGAGCCAGTATGCCTGAGCCTGCATCCTCTGGCCAGCTGTTGATACTGTTGACCACGACTGGATCAATGTGTTATAGGCTTTAGGACCAGAGCAGGGTGCTCAAATGACTTGCCTCACTGACAGATGCACTATTGATTTTCAGCCTTGTATGATATTTATTCTTTTTCTCGCCTTTAAAAATATACCTGTGTATCCAGGTCCACAAAACAACTTGGAGGAAAAATAGTGGCATTTCTATTGCTGTCTCATAATGGTGACTATAAACTGTTGTAACTGAGTATAGCTGACAATTTCTTATTATTTTGATATCAGTAAAACAAGAAAACAGCATTGAGTTTGTTTTTCTTTAAAGATCAGACTCGGATCTCTATGAAGATGTTAATACTTTGGCTGGAATGTTTAATAGTGGCATTAAACTTATCTATTTCCACAAAGACAAGCAGGTGATGCCACATGAAGCCAAAGTGAGGACAAGTTACAAGTCAGAACTGTGGAGAGGCATGCCTGCTGACAGAAAAAAAATGCATGATTTGTTTTTCCATCAAAAGTACAAGCTCAGTAACATAAACGCCATACTGTGGAACATTATTACAACAATTACATAGTGCATCTTTGTCTGATTCATCCTTGCTTACTAAATTTTATTTTCCATTTTGAAAGGATTAATACATCATAGAAGCTACTTATGTCTCACTGAAATATAATTGGGCCTGTAATGGATCTTTCATTGAATTAGATTTCTGTGATGAAATTATCTCTACAAACCATTTATCAAAATCTTGGCCTTGGCATCACCATAGTCTAATTTTGCATTAGTCTAATTGTAGATCGGCAACTTATTGTTGGATTTTGCTGCCTTTTGTGCTTTGCCAACTTTACAACTTTTCTTCCCCATGTAGCGTAATGTGATGTGTGTGGTGGTGCCAGGGCTGGTCATAGGCTGCATACCCACCCTGAGCTGACAGATGGCAGAGTGGGTAGCACCACAGCCCTACCTGGCCCCGAGCTTCATATGTTCAGTACTAACGACACCACAAATCCATCATGTGCAGCTCACCAGGGGCTGATATAGAGCTGCCCTTCACCACTGCCTGTGCTCACTATGACATGTGACCAGCCCAGTACACTGGTGAGAGAGCAGCCTGGTGCCAGTGCCAGCTAACATTACTGCTTCCCTATGACAGTTTAATACTGGCACTAAAGATGGAATAGATTTGGAAAAGTGTTGAAAGGTCATTTCAGCCACAAGCGGTCTCTATCTAAAGATACTTATTTTTAGTCCTTGTTAACCATAAAACATATATCCCTGCACTATGCCGTTTACTTTTTCAAATGCAGATCTTGGTTCTATTATCGAATTTCAATGAAAAGAAAGATGAGTGCTAATTATTTCAGTTATTTAACACATTATTTTGCATATGCATCTCCATAGAGACAAGGAAATCAAGCAGTCAGGACAATTTACATGTCAGATCTCTTTAGAGGTGGTCCAGTGAGTAGGTAGGTTTAGGTTAGCAATTAAAACATCCAATAAATGGATGGAAGTTTACTGCCATACTGTGAGACATTTCAGACAAAGCAATAAACTTAAAGCAATAAGAAACAATAAGGTGGCAGACTCCATCACAGAAGTTACATAGTGCACATTTAAGTTTCTGTCTATATGGATTCTAACAATACAAATGTGTGTTTTGAATGACTCACCTCAACGTTTTGTGCAAAGTTAAATTTAGAATATCCAGCTTAGTCTCAGGGTCATGGCCAATTCATGAAGTTTGGTTGGAACACATTTCTATAAGGTTTTCCTTCAATTGTTCATTGCAATAGGTAGTCTCATTCCTGGAGTATTTGACCTCAAAACATGAACTCAGTTCTTTATAGTCCCTGTACGAGTGGATTCAAACAGCTTAACATACAGTACTTTTTAGTTTTGATTTGTCTTACCACTTCAGTTGTCAATCACGTTGCTTGGATTGTTGTGTCAGATGGAACACATGGACTATAACGTAATAATCAGTTTGTGATTTTGGATTGCATAGCACAGGCCTTTTAATGCCTTTTCTGCTGTTGCCCCTAATATTAAGTTACTGGATGAGTGAGCATTTTATTATCTGGCAGCATGAGAAGCCAGTCCAGATTGTCTTGTTTGGATGATGTAATCGTTTCTAGCATTGACAGATTTACAACATGTTGGCTCGGCATATTGACATTTCACAGGACATTTGTTGTTATACATGAACAGAGTATTAGTAAACCTGTTACAGACAGTTCCCACCTGAATGCAGTACAAATATGCAGCAGATGAGAAGAACAAGGTCTGGGCCAATAATTCTCGGCTCAAAGGGCTTTTAAACTCTGATTAAGATTCCATTAATCTTCATGTAAGAGACACTGGAACTTCACTGATTGTACAAAGAAGTATTGAAACTAGGCAGTGTACTTTACTTTCTCTAAAGCTTCATTCAAAGTGAGTTGGTTGGCTTAGAGTAGAGTTTCCAGTACCTGCTTTTCTTCATGGAGATGTCAGTTCTTTATAGGACTGTTGCAGTACAGTATTAAGTCTATCTTGTATTTATCCAATCAAAGGTGTTTGTACTGCTAGAAAAAAAATAATAAATTGCAGCGTGACAAAATTGCAGGCTCTGTCTCATGCTTGTCTCCATGGATATACAGTGTAGAATATTCCAGGCAAAACAATCTCCATAGAAACAATCAGCAAAGTTGCACAGTGCAGCTTTAAATTGTGTGTAGTTCTTTGGTTTGCAATACTCAAAAAATGCTGCATGTTTTACACCGGATGCCCTGTCTGCTGCCATTGTTATTTATTCAGGCTTGGGCCCAACTTCGAGATTCCAAAAGGCTGCCTGTGCTGCAAAAATCTATCTATCAATCTATAGCTCAAACAGAAAACACTCTCTTCCACCTTGTGATGTCATTTTGAAATACATGAAGCGCTCTACAGTGTTTTTAAACTCCACACACTTTCAAAAACAACACTGAAAACTATTACTACATGGCATCACAAGGTGGAACAGAT